AGAGAAGGAAAAAAATCTAATATTTAATTCGTACATTTTTTCAAGCACTATTATTATTCGCAAAAAGATTACAAATCTCATTTCTCTAGCAGGGATTATATTCAATCAGTGAAAATCAGCTGGTCATCGATTCATTTGCCGAAATCTACAAAAATCTACACTACGTGTATCGAAGCCTGGGACATCTCCAATGAAATGCTATGTTATAGCATTTAATAAAAGCTATGGTAAAAAAGAAAGAAAAAAATAAATAAATAAATAAAAAGTAATCATAGTGTTTTCGTAAATTAGACCAGATTTTTGAACAATTGAAAATTCCTAATAAAAAAATCAATACAAGATTAATTTAATGTAGCAAGAGAAATGCCAAAAGAAGATATTATCAGAAAATGTGTGAGGAATTTTCCTCAATGCAATTCTCCCTCAAATATCACGAGTCATTAAAAGTTTCCGCATGACACAACGTTACATTTCACCCAATCATACATTATTAATTCGGTCAACTTAATCAGAATCGTAATAGGCTTTCTAATATTAAATTTCTAAGTTGACGCTTCATTCTTGTAACGTGATGATGTTTTCGATTCAGATATAAGTCGTATTAATTAGTATTTAATGCGCAAAAGCATTAAATTTATTGTGATACTAGTCACACTTGTTCATAATGTCGCATATTTGACATGCAAGATCGAAGCTTTATGCGAGTCCAAAAGCCAATGGAATCCAACTAGGGATTCACTTACTATATTTTGTGGCGCATGCGAACATGCGAATAAATAAGAGTAATAAATAATAATAATGAATAAAATTCGAGTAGAGAGTAATATTTATTAAGTAATATATATTAAGTAATAAAGAGAGGTAGAGGAAAAGCGATGTGTACATATTAGTATATAAATACGTTTGCAATGTCGAAAAATCGAAATGCGAGTGGATAAAAAATTAATTTCCTGGCATCTTGGATATCTTGATGTATCTTCCGATGGAGTATATGCCTTTACACATCTGTCCCAAGAATATTGTATCCCAGTGACACTTTGTCATTTTTTTATTGTGGATTAATAAAAAAAAAAAAAAAATAATAAGAATTCAAACGTATGAAATTTTGGGCCTGAGAGTATACGGGCATTATACAAACGTTTCGATAATATTCTGGCTCGTTACGTCTATGCAGATATTTACCGACAACTGGCTTAATTAAGCAACCCTGTAAGCTTATTAAGTGACAGCGACAAACACAAGCTACATATGAGAACCATTGACAATGTACATCGACAATGGAAATTCGACGACCGAATGTTTTCGAGTCAAAAGTCATCATGATCATATCGCAATTATGTGAAAGTATAACTACTTCAAATGAATTCGAAGCAAAGAGCAATAAAAGAGATTTTAGCTTAATTAATCGAGTAATTAATCGAGATAATTATGACATTAAGGGAAACTCAACGCCAAAGTATTTTTCAATGATAAATCAAACAATATTGTTATAATAATACCTAAAAATAATAAAGGACTTTTGAAAAGCCACCAATTTTAAAATATTGCGATAACATATTTTAATGCGCGAAATATCAAAATTATCTTGATTACTTCGATATCGAAACCTTACGCGGAGACCAATTTATACGCTTGAATATAAATGGCGTAATTATGTGGCAGCATACGTTATGCTGTTACAGAGCGTGTTACGCATTACTGGAAACAAATGAAAACAGCCTCAGGAAATATACGTGGAATATATCTCGATATTTGAATGCTTTGAAGTGAAGTTTGCTAATGAGGAAGAAAGGTAATTACATATTTGTGTGTTCAAGACAGAAATATTTGGATTTGGACTAATACGGAATAATACGTTATAATTGAATTAAATTAAATTCATAGGGGATTGTGTAGTTTAAGTTCGTAAAATTAAAAAAAAAAATTAACGAAATCAAATTTAAATACTTTAAATTTAGTAATTTTACGTATATGATAATTCAAG